AGAACCTGCCTCCGGTTACATCCTCCGGCGCCGTGATCGCGAACCCGACGGCGACACAGCCCACGAAGCCGGCCAAGAAGGTGGCAATTGCGATCTCCGTGGGAATCGTGACCCTGGGAATGTTCTCCGCGTTGGGCTTCTTCTTGTACAGGCACAGAGCAAAACACCCAGTGGAAACGCAGAAACTCGTTTCTCGTAGGCTTCCGGAAGATTCTCCGCGGGCCCCACCACCCTCGAGCTTCCTCTACATTGGAACAGTGGAGCCCGCCAGAACGTCGCTCACCGAACCCAACGGAACGAACATTATCACTTCTCCTTATCGAAAGCTTGATTCTGTTAAGCTTAACTCCGATCACCGGTACCGCCCCAGTCCCGAGTTGCAGCCGCTGCCGCCGCCTCAAAAGCCGCCGGACGAAAGCCACTCGCCGCCGGCAGGATTCTCCGACTCATCATCGTCGTCCGAGGAGGAAAGCTGTGAGACGGCATTTCACTCGCCGCACGGGTCGTCGCTAAGCCGCGAAGAGAATTGTTTCACGCCGGTGTCGCGCCACAGTTGTCTCGCCGCCGCCATACCAGCGGCGGCTGCTGCTGGTCCGGTGGTTCCTTACTCGAAGAGAACTTCACCGAAATCCAGGTTCTCTGCTCCTTCGCCGGATATCAGAAATATGATCGTACCGCCGGCGAAGCATTCTCCACCGCCGTCACAGGCGCCACCAGCTTCAACCAAATATCAGCAAATAGAAAAAGTAACTAGCATGGGTCCTTCTAGAAGACCGAAATTCTCATCGCCTCCCCCAGCACCGAATTTGACTCATCTTATTAAGCCTACCGCTCCACCTCCTCCACCTCCTCCTCCTCCCCCGCCGCCGCCGTTTCAGAAGGGTTGGTCTCCGTCAATCAGTGCATCTTCGTCCTCTGTGCCAAGGAAGCAGCGAGAGTCTTGGTCTCGAAATGGAGGAGGGTCTTCTGCTAACAGTGTTAGTGTAAGGAAAGGTTCTACTGAGGAAGTTGACAAAAGGCATGGAGGTGATGACGTGGGTGGAGCGAAACCCAAGTTGAAGGCTCTGCATTGGGATAAAGTTTGTGCTACTTCGGACCGTACCACTGTGTGGGATCAGTTAAAATCCAGCTCCTTTCAGTAAGTAATTGAGATAAGTTATTGTAGTTAATGTGATTCTGTGATGGGTGGACTGATGTTTGTTTGTTTGTGGTGTGTAGGTTAAATGAGGACATGATGGAGACCCTGTTTGGCTGCAAATCTACAGGTTCTGCTTTTAAAGAGACTGTCACTAGGAGATCAGTTCTTCCCCCTGTTGAACTCGAAAATAGGGTGTTAGACCCCAAGAAATCCCAAAACATAGCTATACTCCTAAGGGCACTTAATGTCACAAGAGATGAGGTCTGCGAAGCTCTTTTGGATGGTAAGTTTTTTTTCCTTCTTCTGGACATGGAGACTAGTCGCACTTCAACTGCACAATAAATCGGATGTTTTGTTGCCTTGTGCAGCTTTACGGGTTTTGTTAGATTATTTAATAATAGGATATTTTTAGGGGAGATAAGAAAAACAAAACAAAACTGGGCATGATATGGTTCTTAACATCCGCATAAGTCTTGACTATTGAACAATAGTGAAACATCCCGGATCATCACGGTGGCTCTTTCTACACTTTTACACTAGAAAGATCTCACATTCATTGTTAGACTCTTTTTTTAGGAATTAATTTTATTGCTCTTGGCATCTTAATGGACCAACCTAGTACTGTCACAATCTTATCAACTACTCAGCTTTGCCTTTTTTAGCTGTAACGGTCAAACTTCCCTAAAAGCAGTGCCATACTGTTTCCCAGCCATGATTGTGTCATCATAAATACAGATTATTTTACTATTTTTGTTCTGGTCTTCTAACCCAGATATATTCTGTTTTTATTCCGTCAGTGTATCATTTTTCTATTGCTTCAGTTTCAGTCTTTCTTTATTTTATCTCTTTAATTGGTGTCATCTAACATGATATTTCTAATTTCTCATGATACATGATATCTACTGAAGATAAACCAGCAGCTATCCCTTATATAGTTTCTTCAATGTCCACTTCCCTTAGTCCAATAAATAATTCTGAAATTGAGTATAAAATGTTGATGACGAATTCTCAATTGCATGGATATGTATCATCTACTGATCTTAGGTGGCATCGGTTTTTGAATGACACAGGGAACCCTGAAGGTTTGGGAACTGAGTTATTGGAGACTCTAGTGAAGATGGCTCTAACAAAGGAGGAGGAAATAAAACTTAAAAATTATAATGGTGACCTATCAAGACTTGGTTCTGCAGAAAGATTTCTTAAAGCAGTGCTTGATATCCCTTTAGCTTTTAAAAGAATTGAAGCAATGCTGTACAGAGCTAATTTCGAAACAGAAGTTAACTACCTTAGGAAGTCCTTTCAGACACTGGAGGTATTCATCCCTTTCTATATTCAGTGTCTCGTTTTCATTTGCATTCTGTTCTGCCTCGGTATAAATTAATCAATCAGCGGTTCACATTTACCAGGCTGCAAGTGAGGAATTAAAGCACAGTCGGCTATTCCTCAAACTTCTCGAAGCCGTTCTAAGGACAGGAAACAGAATGAATGTTGGCACAAACCGTGGTGATGCTAAATCTTTCAAACTGGACACACTTCTAAAACTGGTAGATATAAAGGGCACAGATGGGAAGACAACGCTTCTCCACTTTGTGGTCCAAGAGATCATTAGATCTGAAGGAACAGGTGGTGAATCTGCGAACGAAAATGTTCAAAACCAGACAACTTCCCAATTCAACGAGGACGAGTTCAGAAAGAAAGGATTGCAGGTTGTGGCTGGACTGAGTAGAGACCTAGGTAATGTCAAAAAGGCAGCAGGAATGGACTCGGATGTGTTGAGAAGCTATGTCTCAAAGCTTGAAAGTGGGCTAGATAAAGTGAGCTTAGTTTTGCAATGCAGAAAGCCTGATATGTATGGAAATTTCTTTAATTCAACCGGGCTATTTCTGAAAGACGCTGAAGCGGAAATTGTTAGGATCAAGGCTGATGAGAGAAAGGCCTTGTTCCTTGTGAAAGAAGTTACAGACTACTTTCATGGTGATGCAGCAAAGGAAGAGGCGCACCCTTTCAGAATTTTTATGATTGTGAGAGACTTTTTAAATAGTTTGGATCAAGTCTGTAAAGAAGTGGGAAGGATGCAAGACAGAACTGTGGTTGGTTCAGCTAGATCCTTCAGGATAGCCGCAAGTGCATCATTACCTGTTCTCAACAGATACCATGCAAGACAAGATAGCAGTTCAGACGAGGAAAGTTTATCCCCCTAGTGCTGTGTATAACAAAGAAATGAGAGTGTCTTAGTATAACACAAACTAAAATGATTGTTTCCCAAATTTAAGTTAATTTCCCCTATTAGGTCCATAGGTATAAATTCAACAGATTTTATTTCTACCAATGCCTAGAGAATTCCTTCCACAAGATTGAAGAACAAACAGTTAAAGGCACGATGACGAGGAAGATAATAAGTTGTTGACAGGATATGTACCTTGCTTACCATCTCCACTCAATTTCATAAGAACCCGAATGAACATTAAATGGGAAGTTTAGTGCAAGACATGCATAGCTTTTGTTAGTTCAAATCAAACCCACATCCCATAGTTATGACAGGTTTTATTATATGAGATTCCCATACATTTTCATACTATAGAATAATACGATACTAATTTACATGTATTTTTCTAATAAGTTATTAATGATGAATAGCAGTTTTTTTCAAATCCTATGTGTTTGTGGTGGTTTTGGGGAGGAGAGATAACTAAACAACGCTGGCACTTGTGTGTGTGTATAAGAGCAGAGTCAGAATTACCCTTTCATAAAAGTCAATTAAAAGTTGTTCCGGTAAATTGAAAGACTGGTTATTGATTCACATAATTATTTCAGTAAACGAAAACATCTTGGAAAATAATAATTTTGCACGAGTGATTGGTGTTACCACATGTCAGCTATAGCAAGAAATATGCTGTATGTACGTAATATTTGGAAGCATACTTGTACAATCATATTCAATCTATAATCAACAGTATCCACTCTGGAAAAGGGTTCANGGTAACAATCAACACAGAGAAAAAAATATTGGGAGAGCATGGATTCCATCTGTCAAAAGCTAAACAAGACACAAATATGCCAAGGTAAAAAAATGTTGAAAATCACATCGAACAATGCGACTAGGGTTCACACAAAAAGTTCATAGCAGCCTGGTAAACTCACCTTTGACGAGGGCGAGTCTTCGATAACAGTTTGGCGACAATAGAGTGCGGCAAAACCTTCAACAGTGGCAAGTCTTCGACGACGGCGAGTCTTTGACTACAGCAAGTCTTCAACGGCAACAAACCTTTGAGAACCTTCAATGGCGGCGAGCGAACCTTTGATGAACGGGAAGTAACGAGAGGACGGCGAGTCTTTGACTACAGCAAGTCGGCAACGAACCTTCAGAAACCTTCAACGGCGGCAAGCGAAAACTGTGATGGAGAAAGGGGAAAGAAAACCTAATTTTGAGAGAAATTGTGATTGAGAAAAAGAATTGGAAAAACTGAAAGAGAGTTAACTGGTTAACTGTACTAGAATAAAAACAGTTCAGTATTTTTAAACTGAACTATTAATAAATATAATTAGTTTTAAGTAAAAGTAATTTAAGTTTTTTAAGTTTAAAACAGGATAGTTTATTCCCAGCCCTACGGAAGGTAGGAAAGTATAAGAGCGTACGGTAAGATTTTATTTTGTTTTGGCATACCATTACCTAAGTAGGTAACGTGTTCTTGTCCTGATTAAGGATTCCCTTCCATCAACACGCCATCTCCTTTGCTTCAGTTTTGAACCAGTTGGCTGTGTTTATAGCTTATTCCGACACCATCTTTCTATCGTTATATATTAAACTGAAAAGTGTAAAAGCAAGTATTTAGGTGAAGAAAAAGATAAAGTGGCAAAGTGGAGTGTCCACACACAGGATTTCACGGCATCTCTCAAAGAGTTTATGCTTTGCTTTGGCCTCCTTACCACCCAGACAAAAACAACACCTACGTAACACTCCATAACTGTCATCGTCGTTCTTATGTTCTTATGCATAAGTAACAACCATTTCCACTGCCACCTCACATTCCTCACTCCTTACTCACTATTTTTACTCCAAAGAAGTTTCCTCTCTCTTTATTTCTTTTTTCTTTTCTGTTTGTCTTTCCAGCTAAGTAATTTGCGTAAACAAAACCAGACATGTATTATTGTGTAGAACAAAAGGCGATAATAAGCAGAGAAGCCCACAAAATTCACTATGAAACCTCACCATCATCATTTCACCTTCTTTTTCATTCTATCATCATTCTCTCTACTTCCCACTTTCAGAGCTATCAACACAACAACTCAATTCCGCATTTTCAATGAAACAAGAAGGATTCTCCACCAGCCTCTGTTCCCGGAGCTCTCAGCTCCGCCGCCACTCACCCCACCGCCCCCTCCGCCCCCGGATATTCCTTCTTCTCCCGACATTCCTTTCTTCAATGAGTATCCCGCGGGGCAGCCGCCGCCAGTTCAGAACCTGCCTCCGGTTACATCCTCCGGCGCCGTGATCGCGAACCCGACGGCGACACAGCCCACGAAGCCGGCCAAGAAGGTGGCAATTGCGATCTCCGTGGGAATCGTGACCCTGGGAATGTTCTCCGCGTTGGGCTTCTTCTTGTACAGGCACAGAGCAAAACACCCAGTGGAAACGCAGAAACTCGTTTCTCGTAGGCTTCCGGAAGATTCTCCGCGGGCCCCACCACCCTCGAGCTTCCTCTACATTGGAACAGTGGAGCCCGCCAGAACGTCGCTCACCGAACCCAACGGAACGAACATTATCACTTCTCCTTATCGAAAGCTTGATTCTGTTAAGCTTAACTCCGATCACCGATACCGCCCCAGTCCCGAGTTGCAGCCGCTGCCGCCGCCTCAAAAGCCGCCGGACGAAAGCCACTCGCCGCCGGCAGGATTCTCCGACACATCATCGTCGTCCGAGGAGGAAAGCTGTGAGACGGCATTTCACTCGCCGCACGGGTCGTCGCTAAGCCGCGAAGAGAATTGTTTCACGCCGGTGTCGCGCCACAGTTGTCTCGCCGCCGCCATACCAGCGGCGGCTGCTGCTGGTCCGGTGGTTCCTTACTCGAAGAGAACTTCACCGAAATCCAGGTTCTCTGCTCCTTCGCCGGATATCAGAAATATGATCGTACCGCCGGCGAAGCATTCTCCACCGCCGTCACAGGCGCCACCAGCTTCAACCAAATATCAGCAAATAGAAAAAGTAACTAGCATGGGTCCTTCTAGAAGACCGAAATTCTCATCGCCTCCCCCAGCACCGAATTTGACTCATCTTATTAAGCCTACCGCTCCACCTCCTCCACCTCCTCCTCCTCCCCCGCCGCCGCCGTTTCAGAAGGGTTGGTCTCCGTCAATCAGTGCATCTTCGTCCTCTGTGCCAAGGAAGCAGCGAGAGTCTTGGTCTCGAAATGGAGGAGGGTCTTCTGCTAACAGTGTTAGTGTAAGGAAAGGTTCTACTGAGGAAGTTGACAAAAGGCATGGAGGTGATGACGTGGGTGGAGCGAAACCCAAGTTGAAGGCTCTGCATTGGGATAAAGTTTGTGCTACTTCGGACCGTACCACTGTGTGGGATCAGTTAAAATCCAGCTCCTTTCAGTAAGTAATTGAGATAAGTTATTGTAGTTAATGTGATTCTGTGATGGGTGGACTGATGTTTGTTTGTTTGTGGTGTGTAGGTTAAATGAGGACATGATGGAGACCCTGTTTGGCTGCAAATCTACAGGTTCTGCTTTTAAAGAGACTGTCACTAGGAGATCAGTTCTTCCCCCTGTTGAACTCGAAAATAGGGTGTTAGACCCCAAGAAATCCCAAAACATAGCTATACTCCTAAGGGCACTTAATGTCACAAGAGATGAGGTCTGCGAAGCTCTTTTGGATGGTAAGTTTTTTTTCCTTCTTCTGGACATGGAGACTAGTCGCACTTCAACTGCACAATAAATCGGATGTTTTGTTGCCTTGTGCAGCTTTACGGGTTTTGTTAGATTATTTAATAATAGGATATTTTTAGGGGAGATAAGAAAAACAAAACAAAACTGGGCATGATATGGTTCTTAACATCCGCATAAGTCTTGACTATTGAACAATAGTGAAACATCCCGGATCATCACGGTGGCTCTTTCTACACTTTTACACTAGAAAGATCTCACATTCATTGTTAGACTCTTTTTTTAGGAATTAATTTTATTGCTCTTGGCATCTTAATGGACCAACCTAGTACTGTCACAATCTTATCAACTACTCAGCTTTGCCTTTTTTAGCTGTAACGGTCAAACTTCCCTAAAAGCAGTGCCATACTGTTTCCCAGCCATGATTGTGTCATCATAAATACAGATTATTTTACTATTTTTGTTCTGGTCTTCTAACCCAGATATATTCTGTTTTTATTCCGTCAGTGTATCATTTTTCTATTGCTTCAGTTTCAGTCTTTCTTTATTTTATCTCTTTAATTGGTGTCATCTAACATGATATTTCTAATTTCTCATGATACATGATATCTACTGAAGATAAACCAGCAGCTATCCCTTATATAGTTTCTTCAATGTCCACTTCCCTTAGTCCAATAAATAATTCTGAAATTGAGTATAAAATGTTGATGACGAATTCTCAATTGCATGGATATGTATCATCTACTGATCTTAGGTGGCATCGGTTTTTGAATGACACAGGAAACCCTGAAGGTTTGGGAACTGAGTTATTGGAGACTCTAGTGAAGATGGCTCTAACAAAGGAGGAGGAAATAAAACTTAAAAATTATAATGGTGACCTATCAAGACTTGGTTCTGCAGAAAGATTTCTTAAAGCAGTGCTTGATATCCCTTTAGCTTTTAAAAGAATTGAAGCAATGCTGTACAGAGCTAATTTCGAAACAGAAGTTAACTACCTTAGGAAGTCCTTTCAGACACTGGAGGTATTCATCCCTTTCTATATTCAGTGTCTCGTTTTCATTTGCATTCTGTTCTGCCTCGGTATAAATTAATCAATCAGCGGTTCACATTTACCAGGCTGCAAGTGAGGAATTAAAGCACAGTCGGCTATTCCTCAAACTTCTCGAAGCCGTTCTAAGGACAGGAAACAGAATGAATGTTGGCACAAACCGTGGTGATGCTAAATCTTTCAAACTGGACACACTTCTAAAACTGGTAGATATAAAGGGCACAGATGGGAAGACAACGCTTCTCCACTTTGTGGTCCAAGAGATCATTAGATCTGAAGGAACAGGTGGTGAATCTGCGAACGAAAATGTTCAAAACCAGACAACTTCCCAATTCAACGAGGACGAGTTCAGAAAGAAAGGATTGCAGGTTGTGGCTGGACTGAGTAGAGACCTAGGTAATGTCAAAAAGGCAGCAGGAATGGACTCGGATGTGTTGAGAAGCTATGTCTCAAAGCTTGAAAGTGGGCTAGATAAAGTGAGCTTAGTTTTGCAATGCAGAAAGCCTGATATGTATGGAAATTTCTTTAATTCAACCGGGCTATTTCTGAAAGACGCTGAAGCGGAAATTGTTAGGATCAAGGCTGATGAGAGAAAGGCCTTGTTCCTTGTGAAAGAAGTTACAGACTACTTTCATGGTGATGCAGCAAAGGAAGAGGCGCACCCTTTCAGAATTTTTATGATTGTGAGAGACTTTTTAAATAGTTTGGATCAAGTCTGTAAAGAAGTGGGAAGGATGCAAGACAGAACTGTGGTTGGTTCAGCTAGATCCTTCAGGATAGCCGCAAGTGCATCATTACCTGTTCTCAACAGATACCATGCAAGACAAGATAGCAGTTCAGACGAGGAAAGTTTATCCCCCTAGTGCTGTGTATAACAAAGAAATGAGAGTGTCTTAGTATAACACAAACTAAAATGATTGTTTTCCCAAATTTAAGTTAATTTCCCCTATTAGGTCCATAGGTATAAATTCAACAGATTTTATTTCTACCAATGCCTAGAGAATTCCTTCCACAAGATTGAAGAACAAACAGTTAAAGGCACGATGACGAGGAAGATAATAAGTTGTTGACAGGATATGTACCTTGCTTACCATCTCCACTCAATTTCATAAGAACCCGAATGAACATTAAATGGGAAGTTTAGTGCAAGACATGCATAGCTTTTGTTAGTTCAAATCAAACCCACATCCCATAGTTATGACAGGTTTTATTATATGAGATTCCCATACATTTTCATACTATAGAATAATACGATACTAATTTACATGTATTTTTCTAATAAGTTATTAATGATGAATAGCAGTTTTTTTCAAATCCTATGTGTTTGTGGTGGTTTTGGGGAGGAGAGATAACTAAACAACGCTGGCACTTGTGTGTGTGTATAAGAGCAGAGTCAGAATTACCCTTTCATAAAAGTCAATTAAAAGTTGTTCCGGTAAATTGAAAGACTGGTTATTGATTCACATAATTATTTCAGTAAACGAAAACATCTTGGAAAATAATAATTTTGCACGAGTGATTGGTGTTACCACATGTCAGCTATAGCAAGAAATATGCTGTATGTACGTAATATTTGGAAGCATACTTGTACAATCATATTCAATCTATAATCAACAGTATCCACTCTGGAAAAGGGTTCAGGTTTTCTAGCCTAAATTTCTACTAGCCTTTGAAAAATAAACAACGAGTGCTAAATAAAACATGGCTAAGAGGTTCTTTGGTAGTCGCTTATACAAGACTAACTATATATAACGGCACGAGACTCCACATTTCTACTTTTATTTGATCAAACTCTGGTTCCTACTCAAGAAAACCTCAAGCAATATCGGACCTATTAGTGACTGTACAAGAGTATGGAACCTCGAAGCACAGTAACATAACAAATATGAAGCTGTGTTTTGAAAACTGGATATCCCTTCATGCATGGTTCAGACGGGGATCTGCTTTAAGCGAACTGCTAGTGGCATGCTTCCATATCCAACCCCTAAGCAGAAGATCCATTGTACCAGACTGAGAGGTGTTGTGTTGGCAAAGGTTCCCAAGTACTCAACTATTACGATTTGAAAGAAAACAGTGCAACCGAGGACACCTATAAACACATGATTATCCCATATGCCTTTAAAAACATCTATTTCCTCCATCTCACGTGAATTTACCTCATTGAAAACCTGCATAACCAAACGAATCCATGTCTAGTTAGGCAAATTTTCTCCGTTGCCAATTCATTATTTTCTCATGCATCTGCCTAGGCAACACGTTAAGGTTCCATAAAAAAACATATTAAGGTTACTAAAAGTCTTGAAGAAATCATTCGGTAATCACGAAAATTAGTGGAGGACATTGGCACGTGATGATCTGAACTTGCTAGTAAATTCTGTGAGGAGGAGTGTTTAAGAAGGATTACCTGACAGAATACAAATGTGTTGAAAATAAGAGTGTTTAAAACCACTTCAGCATTCGGGCCTCTGATGAAAAAGACCCATTTACCTACTGTCTGAAGAAACCATATCACCACAAACTGATACAATGATTGTCCTAAGATATTCCTCCACATGACATTGTTGATGAAGTCACCTCTCCTCCCAACTGGTGCACGCTTCATCAAATCATCAGTTGGGGGTTCTGTTGCAAGTGCAAGTGCTCCCAGCGTGTCCATTATCATGTTCACCCACAAAAGTTGAACAGCTGTGAGGGGTGCACTGCCTAAAGACAAAATTCACGTAAAATCACACGATAAAGAACCTCTTTTTTTTTTCCAGCATAATTACTACTGCAATTTCAACGGAATGAAAAATAATGAAAGGGTGCTTGAAAGACAATTTAGGAATAATGTTTTAACCTGTCATGCATGCTGACGTGAAGTTCACTAGTAATGCAACCACATTTACAGTGAGCTGGAACTGTACGAATTTCTGAATATTTATGTAAACTGAACGCCCCCATTTAGCTACTGTCACTATTGTGGAGAAATTATCATCCAAAATAATGACATCTGCACTTTCTTTTGCAACCTGCACAAATCTCCTTGCTTTAGAAGTTTGAGATTATTTGATCAAAATGAAGTGCACTATATTCACCATCCCCTTTCCTATTCTTTTGATTTCAAATATTCGATCAGGAATGGATCATATTAGATTTTCACAATATATTCGTATGAAGGACAATGAAACAAATATCCTAAATATGATTCTGCTGATAAAAAGTAATGATCTTAAACACTATTCTTTTTTCACATGTGAACATCTCAAAGGAGTTAGATAAATTCCCTATTATGCCAAGCTTATCATCGCAATTGATTCACCTCAGTTCCAGCAATTCCCATAGCAAGTCCAATGTCAGCTTCATGAAGGGCCGGGGCATCATTTGTTCCATCACCAGTTACAGCTACAACTTCACCGAACGTGGTACGTAGGTGTTTCACTAGTGTATGTTTGTCTAGAGGTGATGATCGAGCCATAACCTTAGAAGAAAATTGAACACATCATATTATTTAGTGCATATCAACCATGTTCCTCGTTAAGGATTGAATCAATCAGAGATGTTACTCATATAGCAAGTATATGAAGTACCTGAATTTTGGGAATTAGATCAAACAATTCCTCCTGAGTCTTCTCTCTGAAGTCTGGACCCTCAATGGCTATGCCATCATCTGTTAAAATCCCACATTCCCTGGCTATGGCCTTTGCAGTATTTATATTGTCTCCCGTAACCATTCTCACCATTATTCCAGCAGATCGACACACATCAACCGATTCCTTAACGCCAGGACGAACAGGATCTTTGATACCAACAACTCCTATACAAGTGTAGCCAGTTGCAGGAATAGGGTCTTGATCTGAAAACCCATTTTCCAATTCAATATATGCAAGGCAGAGAGTTCTTAGTGCCTCACCAGCAAACTGGTTGATTGTACTCGTGAGATAATTACCCGATTCTTCATCGATGGAGACAACAACACCCTCTGAGTTTATCACCTTGTCACAAGCAGCCAGAATTATTTCGGAAGCACCTTTACAATGAGCCCTTAAAGCTCCTCCAGGGATCTCCAAAACCACACCCATTCTTTTCTTCTCAGAGTTGAATGGCTCAACTTTAACAATCTTACATGTTTGTCTCTCTGCATGAAAATCCCCACCCAATGATAAGCCAAACTGCAACAGTGCTGACTCTGTTGGAGTCCCCAAGATCTCACGCTTACCTTTCTTGTTAACCACAACTTCTCCTCCAGTGTTACTAAATATTGACTGAAGCAACATTTTCAAAGCAGGGCCTGGGAGTTCAGAGGACAAACTAGAATTATTACTCACCTCCTTGACCTTCATACAAATACATGTTTTCACCACAGTCATGCGGTTGGTTGTCAATGTCCCAGTCTTGTCACTGCATATAGTTGTGGCTGATCCCATAGTTTCACAAGCTGCCAAATGCCTCACCAGGGCCTTGTCATTCATCATCTTTTTCATTGCAAATGCAAGGCTCAATGTCACGGCTAGGGGTAACCCCTCTGGGACAGCAACAACGACAATGGTAACCGCAATGGCAAAGAATTCCAACATCTCCATTGCATCATCTGCTGACCACCACCAGAATCTTCCCTCTTTGAGTTTGCGGCCCATGAGTCCTTTCACCAAAACTGCAAAGGTAACCACTGCAAAGAATAGTCCTATCTTCCCAATAATGGTTGCTACTCCATTCAGTTTAACTTGCAATGGGGTTTCATCATCTCCTCCTTCACTCAGAGTTGCCATCAACTTGCCCCATTGAGTCCTCATCCCGACTGTGGTAACCAACATGGTGCAGGAACCATCTTGAACCTTGGTTCCAGATAGAAGAAAAGGGTTTTGGGAAGTCACCATCACTGGCTCACTCTCACCAGTTAAACTTGACTCATCAATCAACACAGAAAATCCTGAAACAAATAAGCCATCCGCGGGAACTTGGTCTCCAATGGCAAGATGAACAATGTCACCGGGAAGTAAACTATATATTGACATTTTCTGCCTGTAACCGTTTCTTGTAACCTGAATGGAAATCTTTTTCTTCTCCTTGTCTAAGTCCTTGAATTGCAACGATTGGCGATAATCACTTGTTGCTGTCACAAAGACTACTAGTAAGATACTTGCAACAATTCCAAGGCCATCATGAGCACCTTTGGGCCATCCTTCCGTTAATATGCCAACTATCAGAGACACAAAAGCACACGCCCCAAGGATCATGAGAGTCATGTCTTGTACGGCTTCGAAAACAAAAACCCAGAAACTCCGAACTTCACTTTCAGTGAATTTATTGACTCCAAAAAGCTCTTGTCTCCTGCGCCGTGATTCAGAATCACCACTAAGCCCCGTGGTGGTTGATGTTGAGAGCTTTTCTGCAATGCCATTTACTCCACCATGAAACTTAAGCTTCTTTACGTCGTGGCCTTCAACAATAGACCCCATTTCATCCGCACAGATTTGGAAACCAGCAGCTTTAACTTCATCAGGCACAACATAATCGCTTAGTTGAACACCTGCGGGTATATATATGATCACAATTCACAGATAAACAACCTGATTCTCAATGAATAGGCTTAATTTCTATACTATAAAAAGCTTTACACTATCAACCGATCATAAACTGTAGTGATAAGTACGATTTTTAAATAATTATTATAAAAGTCAACAGACTCATAGACATAACAATGACGACAGTATAAAAACCGGATAAACTTCTAGGATTTTGAATAAATATGAAGAAACTTACCTTGGATAAATTGAAATGCAGCTTTGGAAACCAAAACAGCAACCCTTAGCTTCTCCTGCATTAAGGAGAGAATAAGCCTTTGAGAGTATTCTCAAAAGCAAAATGGCTATTACAGTGTCGAAGAATCATCAAACTTTTAATGAATTTGCATGTCAATAAATAGATTCGAATCTACCCATTTGAAATCTATATTGAAAGATACGTCAAACCTATACATTGGAGGTTCAAAAAGATCATATAGAGATTGATTACCTGATTGGTACGACGCATTGCAGCTGCTTCGTAACGTTTAGAGATGTTGGCAGTGAAACGAAAGCGTCGTTTGGGGTTCTTTACCACCCCACATACCTTCCTCCATTTTTGAAGAGCTTCGTCAGTAGTGTTTTTGGACTTCACTCCTCCAAAATTTTCATGCAAATAACTCTCCATCTCCCTTCTAATGTGCTTTGATCTTTTCCTTCTTTGATGCCTTCTCTGCTATCAATCGACTGTAAGACTCTTTCCAAACCCGAGCTCACGTTAAGAAAAGCATGCTAATATGCAGTAACACTGTATCAGCGACCAGGTAGTACCATTGTTAGAAAAGTTTAGGTTACGTTTTGGTTTGCATATGTTTTCATGTAAAGACAGGGAGAGAATGAATGAGGTTGGAACCTCGTGAAAGGTAAAGTTCTGAGTCTAAGAAAATGAATGGAGAGGGGAGAGATGAAGAAGCAGAGGAGGGAAACGAGTGCGGATCCGAAATTTTGTAGTGTTTAAGAATGAATAACGGTCCATTCTTCTGTTGTTGTCCGTTGTTTCGGGAAACTGGGGATGAACGAATTCCACGGGGTCAACCTTCTTTTCTTCAATAAAAGAATTGAGAAATAAAATGCCGTAATGCTTTTCTAAAAAAATTATCAAATCCAAGCTATAAGAAAAATGTTGAAAAGAATTCACTGTGAAATAGTGTACTTAGCATTTAAAACTTTAAATTATATTATAATTTTAATCTACCTGTGATAGTTTAAGTGATTAGAAATTTGATTTTTTTCTAACATTACGTTTTTGTTTTTGAGTTAGCCGAATGGAAAAATAAATGTCGAAAAGGCAGTAGACACCATACCATTTATTTATAAGTTGTTTTCATTTTAGAAAAGTATAATTTTTCTTTCATTTTAACGTGGTTCACCATTCTTGCCAACCTCTCGTAATGACCCTTCAATCCAATGCAAAGACTTGTCAGAACCACTACCTGCAGATTTACTGACCTAATAGAAAGAAAAGAAAATTGCCAAAAACAAAGAATATTTACATAATTCGAAACAAAATTGGCTGCTATTATGCAAATATTTAAGTGAAAATATACTTATTGATTATGTTGTTAACTTTTAAAAAATTATGTATGTTTTCATTTATTATAATAAAATAAATAACTAATATAGTATTATTCAGATAAAAGAAATACATTTTTTAATTACATTTATTACAAACTTTTATTGAAATATATTCATTTTCATTTAATTTACCATTCTCTTAATCCAAACAATCTTTCTTTTCTTTTTTCTTTCCATATTTTCATTCCTATCTCAATCCAAACAAACGTAAACCATTATTTGTCAAGATGACTTCTCCCTTATCCATCTATTGATGTTGCTACCCACTTCGACCAACATCTCAAGTCTTACATCATTTTTTTTAAATCAAAAGTAAATTTAAAGTCAATATTTTTACCAATTCACTTAAGTCGAAAGTCAAATGTCTGATATAATATGTTTATAATCTTAAGACAAGTGAAAGAAAATTATCTTAAAACAAAACATTTGGAAAATTACGTTTCATTTCATTGAATATTATATACAACTAATTATCAAATATATAAATCGAGACAAATAATATATTATACAATAAATCCTCGCTAGTTGGTAGTGGAAAATGGTAAGTTTACCAATATTATATAATAAATATTATTCTTTGCAAATAGATTCATGTAACTGACTAAACAATTTTTTTTTTATATTTTTATCAAATAGTTAGTGTGCAACAAGAAATTTAACAAAAAATATTTATGATTGTCAAGATTAGATTTCATTCACTTCATGAATTCACAGACATCTTAATTTAGTATTCAAGTCAAAATTAACTCACTAAAATATTTAAATTCTATCACTAGTGACTTTGAGCTTATGATAACTTATCATGTTTCAATTCCTTAAATCTTCAACTAACAATCATGCATTAAGTTCGAAAGTCTTAAGATTAGTTATGGATCATGTTCTATCCTTATATACAAGCTCCATTAGGTATTCCATTTCAGTTCTAGGTTTAAAAAACATTTTCAAACACCGGCCTAACCCGGCCCGACCCATCATGATTGACCACTTAGTGAGCCAACCCAACTCGGCTTATTTATTAGTGAGCCAACAAAAATTAAACTCGTCCCGACCCACTACGGGTTGGAGGGTTAAATGGGTTGGTTCACTGACTCACCCAAATTAAAATAATTTCACCCTAAAATGATGTTAAATTACAAAGACAATTCAAAATAAAAAAATTAACACACAATTCAAATATAATCCAAGATCAAACCCAAAAAGCGAATAAATAAGTTTACAATATTGATAATTTTTATGTCACTTATCCATCTATAATATTATATACTTGAATGAATAAATTTATAATATTTTGCTCTTTTGAAACATCTTTTTTTTATTCTCATTTACAATATAATAAAAAAATGTTAACTAATAATATTAAAACACAAAATAATAAATAATTAAATTAAACCAGATGGATTGATGGGGTTGGTGGGCTTGCCACGGGTTCAACTTGGGTGAGTCGGGTTCTAACTGAGCTGAGATGAAAATTGATCCGTATAAAAAAAATTATTTTTTTCAAACCTAACCCGGCTCAAATCCGTGGTGGGCCAGATTGACCCGTGGGTTCTAACCCAATTTAACAGCTTTAGTTGCTCAATATAAATCTCTTCTTGCAAATTGTCATTGAAAAATGCATTCTTGACATCCAATGGATAAATAGGTCATTGTTGAAAAGTCACCACAATTATAAATAAACTAGTAAAAGCTATATTTTCCACGGGAGAAAAAAACATATATGGACAGGTCAAACGCAATAGTGACAAAAGGAAGGTTATAAGATATTGCAGCGAAAGAAACCATTGATGAACAAGAGAGAGAACCCTTAAAAATTCAAGATTCTCCAATCAAGACACCTGAAAGAGAACAAAAGTAACTTAGATGCTCTAAATAGCTATCTAAGAAGAGGCAGGATGTACGACCACACACGACAAATGTGAAAGACAAAAAAGAGCGACTTTGACGCTTTAAATCGTTGCTTGAAAGGAGGCGAGATGTGTCACCACGTACCACGAAAAAATGGAGCAAATCAACAACTTCAAAAGGCGCTGAAAGCGCGTAGGAACTCCGATGAAAGCATCATTGATGACACGATGGTCACTTAGCCGAGGCGATCAAAACTATGTGATCATCGATTGAAACTGAAACTCCAGTAATGATAGCGATAGACGATGATGTCACTGATAGTGGTAGATGGTGTCATCGTCGGCGGGTGTGGTGGTAGTGACAATAAGTTTTTTTTCTCAAAAGAAATAAACTTTAGATACCATGTTAAATACAATAAAAAAAATATGTATAAGATTAATTCCTTTGTGTTGAATATACACATAATGTCTTTTATTTGTAATAAAACAAAAATAAATTAATCTTAAAATATAATTTAAATAAAAAATAATAATAAATTAATTAGATAAGATAAATATAATATATCTAAGATAAATGGGTTGAATTGCATCGAGTTAGATGACATGTAATGCAAGTATTAAAGAGAGACAAAAAGGAATTTTAACTATTTGTAAAGTGTTTGTAATCTCTTGCCACATAAATTATATCTTTTTTGTCTAAGTTACTAAATGGAGGGGTTACAAGTTGTGTTCTTAGTTTTGAAATAGAAGAAAGAAGCTATACAAGGATGAATAAGCTAAATAGTTGGAAAAGTTGCAAGGATTTTCAAGTGGTTTAAGAACTAATGCTGTGTTCGTTTGGAGGGAAAACACTATTCACGTGAATTACCGCGGACGGATTTCCAAAAGCAAGGTCGTTCGTTTTGGTGGATTTGCACGGATTTGGTAAGACGGATATTCGCTGATTTGCGGGATTCCACTGTTCAGCTCATCTCGCAAATGTGTGAGGATTTGCGATGATTTACGAGGGAAAGACTCATATACCCATTTGCTTCAGCCAAAAATAACACATTAATAACCGGTTACAGCAGAGTGTAACCAGTTACAGAGAAGAACAATTTTGCTTCCAAACGCGTAACCTGTTACGCGAACGTGTAACCGGTTACGCAATATATATTTTTTCAGTTTTTTATAATTATTTTAATATTATAATTTAAAAAGATGTACATTTTAATAAAATTAGGTATATTATATTTTCTAATTTATTAAAAATAAGTTGATTATTTAATTTTTATAATTTTTAAACATTAATTTTATAAATTATTCATAATTTTTTTTATAAACATTTTTACAATTAAATATAACATTTTATATTACTTTTATACCTAGGGGCATTTTGGTAATCTTTAATTTCTACCAATTAAACTAATTTTTAAAATCTATCATATCAATCAAATCCTACACTAATTCTCACAAACTTTACTTCCAAATCCACTCTCAATTACCCACAAATCCACTAAAAAAAAACAACTAAAAAATTACCCTCAAATCCACTCAAATCCATTCAAATCATCTCCCCTAAATCATTTCCTCCAAATCCATTCAAACGAACACAGCCTAAGTGAGGTTATAAGGTAAAGTATTATTATAAGACAGTAAAAGAAAACGAAAGATTATATATAGGGAAGTGAGGGATAAAAGGGTAAACAATGTACTTTTTATTTAAAGTTTTTTCTATTTTAAGTAATTCAATTATTTTTATAAAACTTTGTAACTTTTTACAATTATTTATTCAAATAACATTTTTTTTTTCCTAAAGTAGTTGACATATCTAAAATGAATTGAATTCTTAAAATATTTATGCTAAGACTTTATTAAAATTTTCAATTAAGAATTAAGGTATGTTTAAGTTTAAAACGTAAAATTGTTATTAATAAATAAAATTCACAATTTTGATTTGAAGTCTCACAAACATAAAATATATTCGTCTAAGTAATTATTTTATTGGTCAATATATTTCTTACTAAAAAATCATCAAGAGATTTCACTTGTCGTATTAAATTTAGACGTTTAACAGTTAAAAATTAATAGTTGAAAAAAACGGTTACATGTTAATACAAATACATTAAAAATACAATTTAGTATGATTTAATAAATTTTCAACGCCAAACACTAAAAGTCAAATTAAGTGATTGTATTATTTTTATTTTGAATTTAGTTGGTTTTGAATTTATAAGAATTAAATAGAAGAATTTAGGAAAATAAATTGGGTAAAATTGATTATTTGAAATAGTTCAAGTGTATTGGTTATAAGTGATAGTAAACGGTGATGGTGATGAAGAGAAGGAAATGATTAGTTGTAACGTCATAAATTAAACTGAATGTATGAAAATAATTTCTATTTTGATAGGGTATCGGGGTATCCGACCGAGAAAGTTAGA